CACACGTGCAACATGTGAGGCCCTGAACCTCCCTTGTTCAGTGAGTCTCACCTGAGCTTTCAGTTTGTCAAGCCCCAGCCTCACACATGTTAGTGACTCAACAGACCTTTTGCCGCAGCATCTTGGGAGCCTGTTTGTCTCAACCCCGTTGTCAGACTCTTCATAGCAAATCCCAGAGAAACGCAGCTTCCTTAAGAACGTCAGAGTGGCCATTGTGTCCATCTAACCCAGTGTCCTGTCTGCTGACAGCGGCCAATGCCAGAAGCCTCAGGGGAAAACTTCCCACTGCCCTGATCGGTCTCTGGGGAGGAGCTGAAGGGGGTCTGGTTCTATATTGTGCGGCGGCAGTGTTGCTGTGCTAATGAAGCTCTTGGCGCCCAAGTAATAGCTGTCCTGATAGCCTTTCCTCGGTCTGCCCACTTCAGAGTGTGCTGCTCTTTCGGTCTAGTTATGGGTCCCCAGCAAGAAAGCTACCAAAACAAACACAGCTGATGGCAGCCACTCCTGGGTTCAATATAGCCTCACTCCTGCTCTTGTGCTACCCCTGGATCGAGAGCAGCTGCTGGAGACCGTGAGCATGGAAACTATCAGCCCAGAGTTCCTCAGCCCCTCATATTGCTCCCATTCACTGGAGCTGAGGTATCCAGTGCTCTGTAGATCTGCCGCTTTGTAACAAGCCTCCTGCTGTGATGTTCCCACAAAGGCTGCAGAAGGGAACCCGGTGTCAGAAGCAGTTGGAAGAGTCCCACACTGAGAGCCAACCGTACCAGTTCCAGTGCCTTATGCAGCCAAGCACCAGCACCTCCTTCCATGTGGGCTGCGGCTGCTCTGCAGGGGCTGGAGCTGTGGGGGACAGGACGTCTGGTCCAGGAGAGCTGGCAACCCTGGAGCAGGGCATGGAAAGAGGCTCACCTGCTGTCTCAGTGCTATAGGCTGGTGATGTGAGCACAGGCTGGAGAACAGCAGCTACATGAATAGTGTACCCATAGTCAATGTACCTGACACCAATTATCTCGGGTGGCCCCACAATATAAGGACGATGGGAGAAACTGCGACTGTGAGGAGTTTGAGGGTCGACAGGGGCTCTCTCAGGGTTTGATTTAGAGGGTCCTTACAAGACCCAATAAATCAAATACTGGAAAATCAACCTCTAGAGCATCGATCCTCCCAGATGTGTAGATGTGTGCTCTGTGTTTTGAAATGGCTTAACCAACACCTCCTGCCTTCTTACCAACTCTGGGGAGGTTCCATTCCACACCCTACACTGGGCAGAGACACTGGAGAAAACTGGCTTTATATAGAAACTTGTTCCAC